CTTTCTGTGGAACAAGTGGAGGAATTTTCGAAAAAAAAAGATTCCAAAAGAGGGGTAGGAAGTTGGGAAAAGTTACGAAGATGGTGAGTGGGATGGGGGGAATGGGGAGAGAGTCATTCAAGAGGAGAAACTTAGGCGGAGGAGCGGGACGGCAAGACGTTTCCTAATCCAAACTTCAGAAAAAAAAACAGACGCCTTTCAAGCGCTAGTGTAGCTGAGGGAGGGGGGGGGGGGAGGGCGGAGGACTGCGCAGCGACACGATTACGTGGTCCCGTACACGTCCCACGCTCCATATTTGAAAAGTGCTGGCGACCAAAGTTTGGGCGGCCTCGTTCTGAGGCGCATAGGAGCGGTGTTAGTCGCGCGGGGCCATCTTCAATTGCAGTAGCGACTTCTCTCTTGAAAAATCAAAAGATTCAAATAAACTGGTACCTCGAAGCCTCCACGGAAAACTCCTGCCAGCATTGTGGAGTGCTGAGTTTTTCCTTCAGGCACACGATCACTACGTTCACATGGAGCCATACCGAGAAGTTCTGACACCTATAAACGAAACATTGATAGACTTAACTTCAACTTAATTTCCAGCAGGAACAAAGTGACACCCCTACAAACTTCAAAAGAAGAAAATACGTTGCAATCATCAAATAAGAACGAACATCAAAACAGTGACCAGACCAACCTTTTTAATGGCCTCCGCTAAAGTATTAACCGTTGTCAGATGGAAAGTTTCGTCAACAGTTGTTGCTCCTTCAAGTGCCTCCCATGACGCCATGAAATTCGGCTTGTTAATCGGCGCTACCAAATCACCTACAGCCAGTTCGAGTTCTTCCAGCTAAAAGGTACTGCTATAAGAAGAGTACATCATGCGCAAAAGCATCTAACTTCGAACTTTCATAAAACTTCTCACTATGAAATTGTTGGAAACAAAGCACCCTAGAGATTTACCACATAGCTATCCTCGTAGGTATCATCCGATTCGGCTTCACCTGTTGTCGGATCAACATCCTTCACGTTGAACCTCAGGGTTGCAGCGAAATTTCCAGTAACAGAACCTTAAATAAAACGAACTAGTAGCCGAACTTAAATAGAACGATTAAACTGAATACAGTCTCGTACACTGCAGAAGCTGGACGTGTCCGGGGGCTCACTCTGGCACGCTGTCAACCCGTTTTCCACCAATTGTGATCGCCTACTAGCTTCATTATTGGTGGGGAACGGACTGGTGCCGCGCCACCTGCCCGTGACATGCCCTAGCATCCGCAGCAAACAAGACTACAAAATTCTTGGATGACAGATGGACTACGATTCGTCGGCTCCTATATTGGTGAGAGCTCGCAAAAAGAATCAAGCTCTGAGATTATTGACGAAACCAATTTACGCGCTTAAATAACTGCCGGCGTATCCTCATTGAAGCACTAAATTTCCTAATATGGTTAAAAAGGTAGACCGTGCCAAGAAGAAGGTACGATTGTTACCAGTCTCCGCTCATCCGGCAATCGCAAAATGTCCTGTCGCTCTCAAGATGCCCTCTCAATAGGGCGGTATCGACGAAAGCATGCAGCACGGCACGTCGTGCGGTAAGGATCTCCAGCGAGGGAGTCGTATTGGTCGCTGGAAGGGTGATCATAGTTGCCCCAAAAAAATCTTGTCGGTACACCGTTCCCAGTTTTTCCAGTTTCAACTGCATTATGTCGCTCTGCTCGAAATATATTTCTCGGGGAAAAAACGAATTTATTGCAAAACGCGGACAAGCTGTGTGATGGTCGTAAGTTGGGAAATTTTAAAAATACTAGGTATTTAGGATTGGGGATGGGATGGTACAAGGAGGATGAAATTCTGAAAAGGGGATATTTCGGA